GCGCGCGTATTAATGCAAATGAGGCAAAATGTAAATCCCCAGTGAGTCAGGATAGATGTGGGACGTCCCTGTTCTATTTTTGTAATGTTTCTATAATTTTGAAATATAAAAATTAAAAGTTACCCAAAAAATGAGTTCCGTTTAGTGCCCTCTGGCAAAATATTGTTCTGAAACCCGTCATCAGGAAATGCCAAATAACATACATTCTGGACAAGGTAAAAAGAATGACAGCTTCTGGATATTTTACTGTAAAACCTAGTCCAAACTTCTAGTTTTTTAAACTATGAAATATTCAAGTGCTGTCTCAGAAAATAAAAGCAAGATCTCATTTTCAATCCCATAAGCAGGAATCAAAGAAAACTGGAAATGACTAGCCTGAAGTCTAGAGCTAAGCCCTAGAGTGTGCATTATGAGATTTCAGCTTAGAGAGCTACTTTCCTTCGTCATTGCTCAAAACCACTCCTGAAGAGGCACAGCAAGCATTCAGAACAAAGATCTACTTTTTAAAAATCAAAATTAAATAATAGGAAAAGACAGAGAACAATTCAATTGCTAAAATCTCAAACTCTTTTTTAACTTGAAATCTAGTTGATTACAATATTGTGTTAGTTTTAGGTGTACAGCAAAGTGATTCTGTTATATACATAGTTTTCAGATTATTTTTCACTATAGACTATTACAAGATATTGAATATAGTTTCCTGTGCTATACAGTAAATTCTTGTTCCTTCAAACTCGTTTAGGACTCTTTTCCATTAGTTTTTGATACATTTCTTAAATTAGACTAGAATGGTAAGCCAAATGTTTACTCATTTCAGTGCAGATACTGCCTGGGAACACGAGGGCTCAGGTTCTCTAGGTCTGTGAAGCAGGACACAGTTCAACTTGTCGGATATTCAGTGTATACCAAGTACTCACTCATCGTAGCACTCCAGACCTGAAACTCCTGTATTTGACACAATATGGAATTCTTCAGGAATCAAAGTATCTGTTAGTTTCTTTGGCTTAAAAAGAAAGAAAGAACAACGAGAATAAACACATTAGTAGGTGAGTTGCCCATATTCTAATTCCTATCCCAAAGGGATACTATTTATTAAGAGATTCTGATTAGACAAATAGCAATATTAGTAACATGGGTCATGGCTAGTAGTAATTAACTTTTAGCAGAGCACAAATTTAAAAATTAACCATGAATTAAAGAACAACCTTGGTTTTAGTATGAGTTACACAAAAAATCTATTTAAAAATTTTAAGATCTGTTAAAATTCAACAGAATTTAAAATTCACCTTAGCAACATGCCAAAAAATAAGAATTCTACAATGTTAAACTGTGGATTCCTTTGTTAAAAAACCAAGTCTCCTATACTGTATTTTCTAGATTAATGTAAATAACTGTAGTTTGGAAAATAGCTTAAAACAAGATATCTTTGATCTCCCACTAAATGCCCTTTTCTAAAAATAATTAGAAAGTGCTATGAAAGCATAAACCATGCAGGCTGTTACAGTATGACATAGCTTTATTTTGGGGGGAAATTTTTTTTTAAAGTAGGGAGAGGGGGCAGGAAATTATTTATCAAACATTTTACCTTATGAGGAACAATGGCACCATCATGTGACTGTAACGGACTGTTGGTCTGTGGGGGACAGACTGCGCTCTCCTTGGTCTCTCCTTTAACATACTTAACATCGTACAGAAAAGAAATATCCCTAAAAGTAAGAAAAACATATTACAAAATAAGTTTCTGTTTGGCTACTGGATAAAAGAGGGTGAGGTCCACACA